TGAGTGCCTTCGGACGAATCGAAACCGGTTTGCGGGTAGCCTTCGTTGGGCTAAAGCCAAACAGGCCACCATATCGTTTGGGGTGTTCCATAAACCCACATGGATTCTCCGAATCGGACTTGCAAACTCCTCGCAGTTCTTGGGCCAACATGCCAGACACACCCCTTTCAATAACGACCACCAAGCCTGTCGTTGAATCGTCAGCACCCCGGATTGATAAACCTGCCTACTAGTGGAGCCCCATGCCCAAGTGGCCACGAAAACTGGCCACCTCCCAATTCTCAACTGGTCTTCCCCCCCCCCCCGGCACCCTGCCCTTGCTTCTCCCCCCCGTCTCGCAGCTGCCTTCTCCCGGCTCCGCCCGGTTTTGGGCCGCTCGTCCCGGGCTTCCATCAGCTTCTGCTGCAGCTGCTGCAGGTGAAGCCGCCGATCCCGAAGCTCCTGGAAAGCTGCCCAAGGTCGTCAAAGTCGTGAGACTTTTTGCTGTCGCAACTTGAGGCATGGAAACCCGGTCGATTGCACTTGGACCTTTTGGGGCAGTGTTCCCTTCTCACATGCACCCAAACGTTAGCCGCGGGAAGATGCATGTGAAGTGCCAAAGCAGTCATGCTGCATGAGTCAAAGGATACCACGCAGCACAAGCCTGCTGGTTGCGGAACACTATCAACAATCCATGAGGTCGTCAGTCTGCAGAAGAAACGCCTACTGAACGAAAAGGTTTAAAGACTTGAACCAAATGTCAGGCATGTGAAAGCTCCGACAACCGCTGATCCCAGCTTGAACCACGGCTGGCCAAGCTTCGAATGTTCCGATCCTGCAGCTCTCGATCCACCTGCTCGTTCACATCAGCCACAGAGCTGGGCGACCTCGGACACACAGCGGCAGCCCCGCGCAGATGAATGCGGAAGGATATCTGACAGGCCATGGCTTGCTCAAGCGAGACCACATCTGTTCATATGCAGGACTAGGGCCATGTGCTTGTGCACAAAGAGGCCTCAGGTCAATTGAGATCATAGAACCACTCCTTTTACCTTTGACCGCGTTCCCAACAAAAATGAACTGAAACATGTGGCCATGGGTCAAAAGCCCGTACCCCCAGTGAACATCCCAATCCCCACTAAAATAAACTAAAATGGGTGGTGCACCTACCCCAAAATGGGATCCCAAAACGGTTTTGACAACCACAGCCACGTAGCTTGCCGCAACTTGGGCAGGCGCTCGACGGCCTTCGAGGACTTGAACTGCAGAGCCGGTGACCCGGGCCTCCTGAGACGGACGAGTCCATTACCGGAGGCTTGGGTTCCTCACCAAAAGAAGCGATCCACCGAAACTGACCTTCCGAATAGGGATGGCTATATGAGTCATATGAGGTTATGTGTAGTCAGTGGGACCCAAAGGCGGACATCCTTAGGCTTCCGGTTCAGGACGACTAAGCCTTAGCGCAAGGATGTAAACCTCACCCATCTCTACTTTCCATCCATATCCGCTTTACGCCATGCTCGAGGGAACCACCAAGCGTGACATAGTCTTGGTGTCTGCGCTTTGCCGGACTTGAACAGCTCTCATTGACATGCAAGAAAGAAGCTGAACACATGCCAGCAAAAATAGAAAAACTGCAAAAACTCGCCGCTGGCGCACCCAACAGCCGGCCCCTCTTTGCCAAGGGAAAACAACAACAACTTGTGTCTTGCGTGCCACAGGTGTCAAACAATTCCGATTGCCCAATAAAGCAAGCTTAACTAACCAGCGCCAGCAACACAAGTGTGCAATGAATCCAATACAACAAGGCAACTGCACCCTCACCCACTAGGGAACCGCACACGAAGCCCAGGCGGAGCGGGCGCACAGCTCGCCTCTTCTGGGAAAACCAAGGAACTTGAAAGCAAGAATTATTGTTAGGTCTTATAGATTACAAAGAACCAGCAAGCAAATCTTGGCCAACTGAAGTAGGACGTCAAAGGTCATGGCCCGTGCTTGGGTTCCCCTGGTGGTTTGCCGTCAGTGGAGCTTCATTGCAGAAGTCGCCCTTCATGATGGTCGTAGTCCTCTTGCTTGCTTGATTGCATGCGTTCGTTTGCATGCTTGCCTGTTTGCTTGCTTGCTGATCCTAGACAACAAACAAAACGTGAGAAAGACGACTGGAAGCCATTCCATTTGCCCATATGCTGGCTGGCTTTGTTTGTTGTGGCACATATCCTAAAGATGGAGCAAAAAAGACGTCAATCTGATCCTGACGAAGTGAGGGGCACCGAGGGAGCACCAAGAACGCAGTCTGCTCAGTCTGCTCCCGTGAGACTCGGGCAACTCCGCCGCCACCTCCTCCGGCGACATCTCTGCTGAGGGCCGGCCGTCAATCCACACCAGGCGGTCGCCTCAAAACTCGGCCCATGTATATACATATATACATATATATATATATATACATATATATATATATATACATATGTATGCATACCTGTTATATAGGCGCATCGAGAGTTTGCCAACGCTTAGGTCAATCTTGGAAAAGAGGTGCGGCCTCCGATCCGGCCGCACAGTTCACGAAGACCAAATGAATGTGAATCTTGGTGCTGCGCCACACACAAGACCCTGTCCTGGCGGGCAAACTGCGAGGCATCAATGCTCGGCACAACTCCTTACTCTTCCAAGTAACATCATCATTGGACTTGTTAAAACTGCTACTGCTGCAGAAATCCCTCTATTTTGACCTTATTTGACAGGCTGAACTACAACATCCCAATACATGTCCCATCTCAGCTCTTGCACTTGAACATTTGAAAACTTGCCTCTACGCAAGCCACCCCGGGCGTCCGGGCGCTCTTGCAGCCCGCGGCTCCAAACGAAGCCCTCCACAACGGCGCGTGCCACGGTGGCCTTTCACAGTGAGGCGAAGCACGCGACGAACGTCTCAAAGGGACGACGCTGGGATCCCTTTCCTTTCGGCCCAGTGAGACCCGAGGGCCTCTTGCAGCGGCGCGCCGCTTAGCTCCATCCCAAGGTCGCAGTGCTCCTTCGTGTGCGTGAGCCTTTCTTGTGCCGCCAGGCATTGCACGTTTCGCCAGATAGAGCCGGTCGAACACTCAACCACTACAAAATTGAGAATGCAGAGGGGTGAAGACCTGGCAACTTCACTGGCTCACTCAAGTCTCCGCCATTGTTGTTCTCCCACTTTATCCAAGAGAAACAGGGCAGCGCATGTGAATCAGCCAGAGAATCAAACAGGAGCTGGGCAGTGCTGTGTTGCAGACGTTCATCTTATCATCGCAGTACGCATTATGTACACTTGCAACACGAGTCATTGTGCAACTAGCCCCTCTCCGCTCCTCCGCTGCTTCCAGCCAGACATCCTGAAGAAGCCACAGGGCTCAAGGCCGGCAGGTGAACCATGGTGACATGCGGCAGTTGCACCTCACTAACCGGGGTCAGTGTGACACATCCTCGTTTTTGTTTGGAGAGAACCCTGGCCAGCATACAATGCTTGTTGCCTGATGCCCACCCCAAGAAATGTTGATTGTGGATCAACTCCGGTAAGAATCAAGCTTTCTTGCCAGTTCGAATGTGGATTTGACCAAGAAGTGTTGATGAAAAAAACCACACACTTAACAAGGCTGTACCGGATACATACACCTAATGGTACGCTCATGCTTCTTCAAGGCCTAGCAAAAGAGAGATGATTGAACCCTTTCAATTATTCCAAAAGAGTCAGCCGCTTGGCTGCCCTCTTCTCCGGCTAGTTTTCACTCCCACCTGAAGGAGTGTTGGCTGAAAGCGACGCTGACAAAACCACATGAAAGCTACAAGGAAATGTGTGCCAAGGAACCTCCCAATTGCAGATGCTTTTCCTTGCAAGGCCAGCCAAGGGAGTCCCGGTACCAAATTGCAGAACAACCCAAGACGCCCTCCGGTGCATAAAACGAGGAAAACGAGGCAAAGCGAAGGCACAGCCAGACGAGGCCGTGTTGCCAAGCAGCGACCGCACCCACAAAATGTCTGGAGTTTGGGGTCAAGATCCTTGCGAAAAAATTGTGGGATTCCACCAGAAAGGGGGGCAGCCCCATTCACCCACCTGAAAATCCGTTGACCCTGCTCAAACCCATGGGGTTTAAGGCAAGTCGTCCAAATGAGACAGGTTGATTAAGATGTTTCATTGCCTTTCAAACCCTCCCCAACATCAACTCCCCTTCCAGCCCCACTCCACTCCCACCCTCCCCAAAACCAAGCAGATCGATGGGAGAGCCGGTTGTCACCCCAGCTCTCCTCCAAAGGCAGCGGGGTGCTCACGTGCTCCACGTCCAAGGCATCGTAGCCCCTGGGCGCCGACCGCTGCACCGCGCTCTTCACCTGGGAAGTGACGTCCAGATGGAAATTCCACCGTGTCACAAGAACCAACATGAACCAACAAGGTGGAAATGAACCGAAAAGGTGGACAACCAAGATGAACCAAGAGTGAGAAGGATGGATATTCTCCCTGCCCAAAATAAAGCGAGGTGCCATCAGGACCCTTAGCTCTTGGGATTCAACTTGCTATCCTTGGCGAGGCGCGGGTACCTTCTGGATCCAACACTTCAGCTTCCCTCCAATTGGGTGTTTTGGTGCTTAAGCAAGGGAACCCGCTATTTGACCCTCTACAAAAGCCAAGGGCTCAAGCCCAAATCCAAACTTCCAATCCAGACCACCAACTAAGAGATACCTGAGAACTGTTATGCCTGACTTTCGACCAAAATCGGAACCAAATGAGGCTTGCATGTGCCCGCAGGTCGCTGAGGCCTGCGACCAAAGGATCCATTTCTATCCCCTCGCATGCTGCTCGACTGGCAGAGGACTAGCTTACCCAAGCCCAGCACCGTACTTTTGCCAAGCGAACAGGCTTGCAACAAAGATGCTACCAGCCTGACATGCTGCGACCACATGCTCTGCTAAAGCAAAATGCTGTGATCCCCCGGAATGTCCTAAAAACGATATCCGCTAATCTTTCTCGAGCTTGCACACAGTACAAGATCACACATGAACTGGCCAAACGTCAGCTGGCCAGTTGCATCAATGGCAGGCTGTGCCCTTGGCTCCCATCCTCTCCCTTGGCCCGCGGCTGCATCTGCTAGGTCTCCCTGGAGGTGGGAGCGCACCAGCCTCGATGCCAGAGGCTCAAAACCAACATGGCGGTGATCTGCACCCCCAAAACTGGATCAACTTCTCTGGGAACTTGATGCAATGTGGAGGGCATAAATGATGCGGCAACGGTATAAGCGAAAAGGACCGGAATGAGCAAGGCTTGTTAAAGGGGTTCGCAAAATAATGGGACCAGGAGGGAGGGAAGCGGGGTAGTGATTCTTGCATCAGGACATCCATCAGCTTGCACAGGCGAAACAAAGCGCCTCTGGATGTGCCTTCAGGTGGGCTGGAACCCCTTGTAAAACGCTGGAGCGCCTGATGAGGGTGCTGTACATATTGCAAGGGTTCCATGGTCTCTGCTAAATCCCAAGAGCCCGGCCAGTGTGACCACGCTGAGCCTGACCATGCAATCATTCCACTGATCTGTGGGCTCGGATTGCCGTTGCGCTGGCCATCTTGCAGGAAGCCAATCAAAATCACCAGTTGAGGGCTTGTTGAGAAAGATTGGTAGCAAATTGCAGCCACTGCCAGGACCTGAGTGCAGCCGTATGTCTTGTATGGATCGCCATCACCCCGGAAACGGGCGCCCCTGTTCATGGACACACTGGTAATATGTGCAACTGATACAAGAAATGCAGCACTAGACATATCTGTCCAAAAGGAAATCTGACCTTTTCCCGCCTGAGGAGACCTGCTGAGATACCACCAGGTGGACCTCAAACGTTTAGTTTGCGCTTCGATGGGTATGCTGACCCATGGACTGCTGCCCCGGATCTATGTGAAGGCCATCGGTGAGGACATGGTTTGTTACATGAGAAGCTTTGTGTGAGAAGAGCGTCTCACTGCCCAGTCAGTTCCGCATTCAAGCGGAATCGCTTGAGCAAATGTCGGCATGGGTTATGGCCAGCAGATGTCGGCATCGGTTAAAACAGTAGACCAGCGTTGCCCAAAATGCAGTCTGGCTTCAACAATCCTACACACAACCAAGCAATAACTCGACAAGCTGATCAATTGCTACGCTAAACTGTTTGCAAGTTCTTACCACCGAGCTCACCGGTCTTGAGTTGTTCCGCAAAAGTTGCCTGCTGCCGAACGCCTGCAGCCGCCTCCGCCTCTCTTCTCTGCCTCTGTCTCAGTCGTCTGGCTTGCTGGGCGAAGCCCTTGAATTGTGCCTGACATGATACAGTAGTCATCCTTGTTGAAAATAGCAAGCAGTGTGAGCCATCCTGTCATGGGAATACATTGAAGATCTGTCAGCATAGCTTCAAGGCCCTTCAAGGCTGGTTGTGTCGGAGGTCAGGGACATGACAAAGCAATGACTGGGCATTGTGTACATTTGTCTCAAAAACATTGGGCTCTACATGCGCAAACGCGCCAAAACGTGTCTAAGGGTGCCACGCATAGCAAACCCGGCCTGCAGATTCCAGGGGATGTCCAAGACATTTCACCCTTTGATGGGAAACCTCTAAACATGGTACAATCGTGCCGTACTCTTGGCATTGCCGTGCATAGAGCTACATGAGAGCTACATGACTCTAACCCTTGCTGCGGTTCTTGGCAAAAGGACTTGAATCAGGCCAGGGTAGCTTCAGGAAAACGTTTGGCAAGCTGCAACTGCCCAAGAATCACCATCTATTTGTTTATGAAAACAGCCAAACATGGACACCCTATTTGTTTCTTTTTTTTTGTTTTTTTGTTTTTTTTTCCTGGTGTTTTCTTTTGCCCAAAACTGCAAACCTGTGAGCATGCCGCACAAGAATGCCTGCCGACATGCATGCCACCCGCATCCGATGCATGCCCAGGCACCGGGGCCAGGCCACAGAAGCGCCGGGCACCTGGAGCAGCTCACACAGAGAGATCCGGGCCTCGAGCGGCGGCGAGCGGCGCGCGGCGCTGAGTTCGCTTGAGGCCATGGAGCTACTCTCCACGAACTCAGTGGCCATGGGTCCAAATCCAAACAATGTGAACATCCGAATCCCAATCCAACCACGAAAATGGGTTCAATGAGTGGTGAATTCACCTACCCCAAAATGGTAGCGTTGGTTTTGACCCACATGGAAACCACAAAGGGATCTTTGGTCAACCAGGACCCCTGGGTTCCATGTCTTGGGCAATATCTTAGATGGTACTGCAATGCAATGACTGGACAATCAGGAGGGCTCGCTGTCTGGCCATGCTTGGCATGTGGGTTCCCGATTGTTGGCACGGCTGTGTCAGTTCCGCACGAAACCTTGTGGTTCTTGGTTCAACAAGGAAAACACAAGGAAACCACAATTTTGTGGAATCTCCTCGAGAAAAAACATGTGGTAATTTATGCAATATTTGCCTGGTAGTGGACATCATCTGAAACAACAGTGGCGCTCTCAAAAAATCAATGAGGTTTCAGCACACCAACTCGCTCGCAACATGAACAGAGACCAAATCCAAAGGAGCAACCAGGTCCGTATCGCGGAGCTGATGCAAATTGCTACTGTACCCTTTGAGTTCATATCTCAAGCGTCAACTCCGCAAGGACGCAAGACACGCAACTCTTCCACTATGATGGCTGAGCGAGATCACACTGTATTGCTGAAAAAAGTTCTATACTCTTTCTCTCCTTCTTGCTCCCCTTCCTTCTTATTTTCCTTCTGTCTTTCTTTCTTTCCTGTGTTCTTTCTTGCTTTCTTCCCTTCCTTTCTTTCTTGCTTGCTTGTTTGCTCTCTTGCTTTCTTTCTTTCCTGCCCTCCCCTGTCCTTTCCTTTCCTTTCCCTTCTTCCTTCATTTAACTGCACTATTCCCCTCTATCATTATTTTTCTCTCTCTCTCTCTCTCTGTCTCGCCCACCTCGTCTTTACCCTCTGCGCATGCTGCCAAGGTGCAGCCCGCAGGTGTGGCCTCCAGTTTGCTGAAAGCTCGGCGTTGGACATAAGAGGGGGAGAGATGTAGAACTTTCAGCTGCCCTCCGATCGGCGGTTTAGTGCTCAAGGAAGGGTTTCCCATTGACCCTCGAACTTTGCTTTTCATCCTCTCACGATTGCTTCGGCCACTTGCCCACAAACAACTCCAAATTGGCACGGCAATGCCATGATTGCCGATCAATCGAAGAAACACGTCGTGCGAGGCTTTCCTTGTTTTGTTTCCGATATGCTGGTCTCTGGCCCTCTCTACCTCCGTGCAAGCATCCCCCCTTGTACTTCCATCAGGGATGTGCAGGCCCCCTCAACTAGTTCTGCGTTTGCTTGATGCTACCCATCTAATGATAAAATGAGACACTCCTCTGATAGCTAGACTCTCGGAAACTGAATTCCCCTTGGCAAAAAAGGGGATTGTGTTACAAAGGTTTGTACTTAAAGCGCGACCCTTTGAGGTCTGCTATGGTAGGCCTGAGTAACCCTGCGCTGGGCAACTATCAATATCAGAACAAAGCAGTACATTAGGCAACCTGCCCGTCTGTGTGTGTGTGTGAAATATGGCTTGGAATGGTCACAGTTCAAATACCACCATCTCAGGCGGACAACTGCATGTCACAGCATTCTTGAACACTTAGCGCCTCAACAATACGCAGAATACTTCTTTGTTGAGATTCACACGCAAGTCAAATCAATTTAAAACAGAGCAAATCAAAGCAAATCCAATCCAACACAATCCAGTACGACCAACAAAACACACAACTGAAACGCGGCCAATGCGACGAACACAAGGTGTACACTACCAACATGCATACATATGAAGCAAAAAAACGAAAAGAAAAGAAAAGAAAAGAAAATAAAAGAAAAGAAAAGAAAAGAGACAATGGAGAAGGAACAAAAAAAACAAGAAACCCACGCCAACCCCAGCTCACCTGCCAGGAGGGAGCTGCTGCGCCACCTTCTCTGCGCCGAGGTGGGCCTCGAAGTACCACACCTAAAGTCGCGGGGTGCGACTCCGAAAGGGCGCGAGTGAATTTTAGGTGGATCTGGGTGTGTGTGTGTGTGTTCTTTAAAGGGACCACAGACCCTCTCAAACAAAAAGAAAGGCGTGCTCTCTCTTTTTAGGGGGACCAATGGCTTCGAATGTCTGTTGGTTTCACATTCAAAACCGCGAAAAACAAAATAGTATCCTGAAAAAAATAAGCACGCCCAAGTTTTGGTTGTGTGTGTGTGTGAATCCACTGTGAATACATGTATCGAATGTACGGACTCTTCTTGTATGCATATATGCGATAATGTGCAAAGATATTGCTTTTCGAGTAAGTAGTGCACATGCACGAATGCAAGCTCCAGACTGTGGGTGTATTGTGCAGCTTCCAGTTTCGAACACACCTCCTGCAAACAAATGCAAAAAGGAAAAAGGCACCTCTCGCATCTGCGCGAAAGACCCCGTGGAAGCAAAACAATGCTTTCCTGTTGCTTCCTGTTGCTTCCCCTTGGGCCCAACTTCGTGTATCTCCAAACTCCCCCGCCCCACCCCCCCCCCAACACCCCCCCGAACGCCCCCCCCCCCCAGCCCAAAACTGCTGGGACGCCGCGCGGCGCAGGCCTCGGAGGCGTCCAGCAACTTCTGGCGCCAGGCAGCCTCGATGGATCCGAGCGCTGGGAAGCTCGCCGAAGACTTTTTGGCCATTCACAGCAAGTCACGCCAGGATGTGGCTTTTGTTCCCAAACAAAGGCTATGTGAGGGCTCCTAGGTGTTTCTGAGAGGGGTTGGACCAGATGGGCTCTCTGGCATGTTTCCCATAGCCCACAAACATTTGCAAGACAAGGTGTTTGATCTAACAACAAAGGGTAATCTGAACTGTCAAAATTCCAGACAAGCATGGTCCTGGACCTGCGCTAACAGTCTGACAATCAGACTCTCCTGACAAGTCCGCCTGCGTCAACAAAAAGGGACCAGGGCCAGCCGCTAAATTTCCGAAAGGATTCTGATGGCCCCCAGCTGTTTGAAAGAAACATCAAAGTCATTAAGGGACCGGCAGGAGACAACCTCGACGCTGAGGGCCTGCTGCAAAAGCACTGAGGTGCGTGGGGCGATGCTTCACTGCAACGAAACCGAATAAGTGCTTCTCCTTGAGATGTGGCCATGCACAAAAATAGACTAAGATGAGTGCTGCACCTACCCCAAAATTGGTTTTGACCCAGGGCCATGTACACAATTGTAGTGTAATTCCGCTAGCCCTCGTCACAGTGGCAATTCGTGAAGGGAGACAGCAAGACAAACTCATTGGAACACAATCAAGCAAAACTAAGCAAGGATTTGCAGTTGAAGGGCTCGGGTACCAATCAACAAGCATCATGATGCTTGCAAATCACTTTCCCAGGTGCCAACGATAAAAAGCTAGCACTATGCGACCTTAGAGTGAACTTGAGTCTCAATAAATGGGCATCCACATGGGCAAAGCACTACAACCGAGCGGCGCAGAGAGAACGAAGCAGCCTAGGGCTCACAGACCCGCAAAGCCTGTGAAAACCTTCTGAGGACCCTGCCCTGTGTCATCTGACATAGCCGGGCCACCTCGGGGGCTATAAGCTTCCATTCCCTTGCTAGGCCTGTGTGAAAAAGTGAATGACTGTAAAGACATTCACGCAATCAATGATCATCTTCCATATGCAATCGTGTCCTCATTTTGCCTCGACCCTAGCCTCGACCTTCCAACACCACCGCCTCTCAAATGTTAGGCCCCTGCAAGGTATCCAGGACCATGGTTGCAACGTGCAGCTACGCGCCACAAGAAATGACCAGGTCCAATGTCGATGTCTGGATTGAAAGGTTGTTTTGCTAAAAGGGAAAAAGGAGATGAGTAGAAATTCTTCAAGAACAAAACATGGATTACGAAGGGATGATGAGATCTCAGACAAGCCACCCATGTTTGTTAAAAGGGACAACTGTCAATGGTAAACAGGAACCTCTTGATGTATTCTGATTTACTGCAGTTAGTTTGGGGAATAAAGTGCTGACTCGGACGAAAATGATTATCGACAAAAAGTAGCTAGAGCGACGCAAAAGCAGCGTGGACAAGCAAGTGCAAGATTCAGATCCAACTCCTTCACATTTTCCAAGAAGAACAACCCTTTTGAATTGCGGGTGTTGAACCGACTTAGAATGAAGGACCGCACAACAGAACCAAGGAACAAAAAGACCGAACGTGGTTGAACTTGACATACACACAAACTCGCATGGTTCAGAGGATGCAGGAGAAAAAACGTGACCATGCTGGCAGTTTGCCATGGCTGTGTTTGACACGAATCTAGCAACTTGTTCTGCAAAAAACACATTTGAAATGAAAGCAAAGTTGTTTCCCAAAACCAGTCAAACAAGTCATCCACATTCATGATTTTTGTTCATTCCACCCGAATCCGACCGCAAGCCAACTAAGAGCATGCAATGAGTGCCACCAATCCGGCCTTGCCAATCCTACATGGTTCTGAACAAACCATGGCTTTCCAAGTGCAACCCACTGTGACCCACTTTAGTAAAGCCAACCTGACTCAAAAGTTGGTTTTGGTTTAACCAGCTTAAACAAACACCAAACCTGAAGCAACACTAAACTTACATGAACACTCAATTCGAGTCACGGAAACCAAATCTAAGCCAAGAGCTACAGCGACTGTTAAACAAAAACACGTTTGGACAGACCAAGAATGTGCTCCAAAAGGTCCAAAAAGACTTTCCTATTACAATATGTTGCTGTGATCTTTACTGGCATGCCGTGTACCGGCGTGGCCGATTTGCCTGTAGCGTTGCTTTGGTTGGTCGTCGCAAAAGACGTGTGTCACCTGTGCTACAAGTCAACTTTGTCATTGAGACATGGACCGATTGACGCAAGGATAGACGGAAAAGTATGTGCGTGTCACAAACAGAATATGGACAGATTGATAGATTGATAGATCGCTAGATCGATAAACAAAACAATGATGGAAACATAGGGTGTGCAAAGATGATCAAGCGAGCGCGAATGTAGTTTGCGCAGCTCAGTACAAACGCAGCAAATATGCAAGCACGCGCAAGAGCTTGTAACACGATTTTCTTCATCTATGGTAAATCATCTATTTTGCTGATGTGGTCCTAACGGCGGACACGCATTTCAATGTGGACGCACGATTCATACCAAGATAAATTGGAACCTCAAGAGCGATACAAATCAGAAGCACAACCCAACAAGGGAGAAACACTACACCGACATGCAGACACAAACCCCACTCTGTTTTCAGTCGTTGGTATGAATAAACCAAAACCAAATGCCGCCGCCTCCCTTTCTGGAGGGAAAGCTAAAGCCAAATGCCCATGCCCTTTCCTAGTTTCTCTTCTTACCCTCTCTCACTTTATCACTCTCTCACTCGCTCACTCTTTCACTCTCTTACCCTCAACCTTTCTTACTCTCTTACTCTCTTACTCTCTTACTCTCTTACTCTCTTACTCTCTTACTCTCTTGCTCTCTTACTCTCTTACTCTCTTACTCTCTTACTCTCTTACTCTCTTACTCTCTTACTCTCTTGCTTGCTCCTTCACTACTGACTGATTGACTGCCTGAAAAATTGACTGACTGACTCAATCACTTGCTCACTTGCTCACTTGCTCACTTGCTCACTTGCTCACTTGCTCACTTGCTCACTTGCTCACTTACTCACGTACTCCTCACTCACATACTCACTTGCTCACTTGCTCCCTTGCTCAGTTGCTCACTTACTCACTTGCTCACTTGCTCACTTGCTCACTTACTCACTTACTCACTCACTCACATACTCACTTGCTCACTTGCTCACTCACCACTTACTCACAAACTCACTTGCTCACTTCTCACTTGCTCACTTGCTCACTTGCTCACTTGCTCAAAATTACTCACAAACTCACTTGCTCCTGTCTCACTTACTCACTTACTCACTTACTCACTACTTACTCACTTACTCACTTACTCACTCACTTACTTACTCACTTACTCATTCCTCACTTGCTCATTTACTCACTTACTCACACTTACTCACTTACTCATTTCTCACTTGCTCACTGGCTCAGTGGCCACTGCTTCATTGCGACACAAGGTCTTGCGCTGCCCCTGAAGCTCAGCAGTATCCATGTCTCAAAGCTCGGACCTGCAACCACACGAGCGCGGCATGCACTACAGTGGCAAGGAAGCAGTATAGTATCATGTTTAAATGCGTTTTTGCTGGCTGAGAAAAAGCACAACACGTTAAGGCTTGTTGCACTGCTCCTATCTTGAACCCAAACCAGACCACCCAAAAGCGCAGTTCTTTTAAAACTTAAAAGGCAAGACAACGCGTGTCCTTGCAAGTGCGTGCAGTGCGCGCAAGGCGTGGCAGGCGTGCCCACGCCGGTCCGGAGACCTAATGGTCCTGAGACCGTGGGCGGTCCGGAGACCGGGAGACCATGAACGGAAGTGCAGAGCGTCTGCAACTTCCCTTTGCAAAGCCTTGTACAAGGCAGTGCAGGGTGGGTGGGAGGGTTTCAAAAGAAACAAATCAAGTTTGGGTCAAGGCTAGGAGCAAAACGGCCACCACGGAAGTAGATTCACAACATGCCCTAAACACAAGGGAAAAGAAAACCCTAAGCGTTAAGGCTTGTTGCACTGCTCCTATCTTGAACCCAAACCAGACCACCCAAAAGAACAAAGCAAGTCCGAAGCGGCCGCAGTTCTTTTAACCGGGATTGCTGAAAGTAGCACTGCTTCCAGGGCACGGATGCGCCTGGAGCAGGAGGTGTGTTGACCCCCCCTTCAGTGTTTCAGGCAACCCCGGTATAAGCGAGCCAGCTGGGCCGTCGGCCTCATCACCCCCCCTTCAGAGTGGGGTTGTACCTGGCAGGGCAAGCGTCGCATGACATTGCACTCTCTTGGTCGTGAGCATCCTGTTGCTCAGGGACCGCTCTTTTTGGTCAAAGCGGCTTGCTGTCAAGCTGCTGACTGATGCAGCCAGATATTCTGGTTGCCAGGGCGATGTCGGGTCGCAATGCTGTTGGGATGCATTAAGGCTCGGCTACACGCTGCTGGCGGCAGCTGCCAGATGTTCCGGGCGCCAGGGCGCATCAATCGGAAACAGCTGGATGCCTCTGCCTGATAGCGCAAGGCCTGCAGGGCTGAAGCGTACGCGACTCTCAGGGCGATGGCTGAATCGGGCCAACCGACCTCTGCTTAGGTCGTCTGCCCAATCCTTGTTCCTTCCCGGAACATGTGTTGGCTGCAGCAACACGTTGTGCGCATGAGCCCAGAAGGCTGTTAGCTGCACGAAGAGTTGCAACGGCCAGGAAGTCGTGAACAACTTGTTAAGGCTTGCTTCCGTTGCCGAATTATCAGTGCCTGAAGGCATGCTGAACAAGTAGCGCCCACCACCAATATGGCTATGGGTGGCTTGCAACAGTGCCAACTGCGCCAGCGTTTCGAAACATGCGATGTACCGCTGTCCAGGCTTGACAAGGCAAGGCCATACTGCCCGTATGTCCTGCATGTTCCAGGTTTCGGCAAAACAAACCACTTGTGATGAAGTGATTGCCCAGCCCCAGTTATCCGTGGGGCGATGTCATGTTTAGCACGCTGCATGTCACCGAAGCCGGCCTGCACACTGTTAGGAATACCCTGGCCCTTCGGCGCATGATATCGGATACTCAGTGCGGACGAGAAACTCCGGTTCCTCCGCTCCTGGCTCACGTGTCTGGCAACTTCCCTGGCCAAGGTCTTTGCACCCCTGGCCGGCGGTGATGCCCCGCTCAGACTGCAGCAGTTGATGCTTGATCGGTTAGCGCAACCGCAATTCTGGGTGGCAGCCCTCACCATTGCCACCCGCCAGCATGCCCAATTGTTGCTCGCCGGTGATGCACTTGAGGAGCTTGAGGCGGGCGATGACTCCCTCGCTACTGGTGAGCAAGTCGTCCAATGGTATGGCCGTGCTGGCCCGGGTGATTGGCCTCTCCATCGCATGAAGGCGCATATCCCTACCGCAGCCATGGCCCACCTTTGCGCACATTCCCCCCAGCCTGAGGAAGGTGGGGGAGAAGTCTCGCTCAAAAATCCTGCAGACATGCCTCGTTTTTTGGCAATCCATGCTGCGGAGCCCGACCGCCTTGTCACTGCCACAACTTGCTGATTTTTTGCAAGTGTGCCAATTTTCGCAGGAAGAAGACCGCCCAGCCTTGAAACGCAGTCCAAAGCAAGCAGTCAAAGCTTTGTTGTGGCTGGCACGCACCGCGCAGATCGCAGACTTGGCAAACTTGTTGAGTAACACTCTTATTCGCTCCTTTTCTTTGCCGTGCGCTCCCAAGGAGCGCAAGGAAGCCTTGCCTTTGCCCTTGGCTACCTTGGTCGCTTGGGGGCAAAAACTACTCCAGCCAGACTGCCCCGCAACGCTCGGCATACTGCTCGGCGGCATCTTGCTTGCAGCCCATTGCAGTTTAAGATTCAAAGATTTGCAACGCATATCGTTTCACTCATTGCCCTTGTCCGCCCACGCACTGCGCGGCACGTGCTGGGCCACAAAGACAACAAGCCAAGGTCAGCCCTTCGCCTG